CACCAGCCCAGCAGCCTCCCCAGCAACCTGTCTGTGTAGTTAAATGTTTGAGGAATAGCATCTATGAGGCCACTTGCCTGTTAACTCTTGAATGGTAAACATAGATTTTATGGACTAGTTGAAGAAGCTAGAATAGGAAGTGTTTTTCTTTGCTCACTAACAAATCATATGCCTCCTCTGTTAAATAGAGGTGACGATTCTCCCAGAACAGGGGTGTGAAAAATTACATCAACATAGATATGTAACACTGAGCCTAACACACAGGTACTCAGAGAGTGAGACTTCTCTCTCTCTCTACAGTATAAGGGATCGACCCGGCCCCCGCATTTACTAGACAAGTACTGTACCACTGAGCTACATCCTTAGCCCTCTTTCTTATTAGAAAACTTGTGCCTCGTGGAATTAAAGTTGTTGTTTTGGAACTCCAGTTTTTTATAGTGCAGATTTCCATAAAGAGAAAAATGTAATTATTGATTGAATTGTGCTCTTAGAATTAGATTCGTAACAAATAGGAACATTGTTCAGTTAAACTTGCAAACGAAACAAAGCCAAAAATTGTACTTGTTATCCCCTTGTCCAATGTGGCTTTCTATTTCAGATTAATTAGATTTTTGGATAACTGCTAAACTTTGCCACATCCTTATTAAAATTGTTTAAGGATTTTTGAAGAATATCTCAGAGGGACTCTGAAACTAATCTAAGTCTGGTGCTGGAGATTCCATTAGCAGTTGTAGAACTGATTAATCTTTTACCCAGTTAGCTTATTGATTATTGCTGCAATTACTGCATGTAACAGATTATGCAATGGATGGTAGCAGAAAAATCTGTAACTGCTGCTCCTGTTTTCAGTTTGAGCACAGTGTTTTGTGCTTTCTATACATAATCTGTTTTTGAATGCTTGAGCACTAAGAGAGAAGGTATTGTGCTTAATATTGTTTCACTACTAGAGATTTAAAAAAAACTTCTCAACTAATACTGAATGATAGTTTACAAAGTGCTTTCATTATTAGTTCTATTGCTGCAGTTTAGTTCTTGAGCCTCACAATGTCCCAGTGTAATAGGGTAAATAATCTCACTCTTATGTGGAGGAAACTAATGTTAAATGACTTCCTGAAGGCTCTATGAGTTAATGAGTAGCAGAAGCAAGATCCAGCCACATTTCAATCAATAAATATTTATCATACATCTACTATGTGTAAAGTTTTGTATTACGGGGAATAAAAACTGAGGCAGGATTATAAAGCTTAAGATAAAGTGTTTGGGTAATGAGTTATGGCCCCATTACTGCGAAGAGCAGTGGATTACTTTTCTATCCAAACTATGTTAAATATTTTAGTACATAAAGTTTAGGGTTTTTGTTGTTGATGATAGTTTATTTACTTTTGGCTAGAATTCTTGTCTTTATCATTACTGATTGTTTTATCATTATAGTTATACCTTGGCACTCCACTGTTTTTGAAACATGAAATACGAAAATTCCATTTTGATGTGAAAATTTATCCCAAGACTCCTCATTTGCATGGTGTCTGACATGCATGCTAGAACTTATCAGTGTCTGTTGCCTCATAACTCATTACCCTTTTCAGCCAAAATAAGTTGTTTGATACCCATTGTTTCTGGTACTTGCCTCCCAGAACCAACTACTGATGCCCACTGAGGCACCACTGTATTTAGCATCAAATTGGAGAGAATCTCTTTAGAGGAAAATTTTACAGCTGGGCAAAACGAGGTGCAGTAGCACCACCTCTCAGGATCACGTGCTAGTGATGACACTCCCATTCCTTGCTTGTTTACCAGACGGCACAGGCCTGGTGGTCTGCAGGATTGCTTTGTGCCAGGAGGTACCACACGTGCCCCAAGTTTCTATCTTTGTTCCAGACACAGTGGCCAGAGCTTGGTGGCCACCTGGTCCTCAGCAGTCACTGGTCCCAAAGATTCTCAGAGATCCAGGGTGCAGTTATCCAACACTGTGGTTTCGGTTACTACATTTCTGATGTGGCTTTGGTAGTGAACTACTATGATAAGGTTCTTTCCTTATCATAATAATGAGATAATGTGATAATTATGCATGAGTGACATATTTCACTAATAAGTATGTTTGCAAGGCTCATCCATTTAGCTATAAAAAGTCCAGTTTGTCATTTTTTATGGCTAAATAGTATTCCATTATGTAGAAATACCACATCTTTTTTATCCATTCCCAAGTCGATGGGCATTTAGGTTGTTTCCAAGATCTGGCTATTTTAAATTGTGCCACTATAAACATGGGTGCACATATGTTGCTGTAGTAGGATGTTTTTAATTCTTTTGGGAAGATACCCAGAAGAGGAATAGCTGGATCGAATGGGATCTCCAAACCTAGTTTTTTGAGGAATCTCCACAGTGATTTCTACAGTGGTTGTACCTGCATTCCCACCAACATTGGAGAAGAGTTCCTTTTTCCCCACAGCTCCTCCAGCATTTGTTACTGGCTGATTTCTTAAACTAGTCATTTTTTCTGGGATGACGTGAAATCTCAGTGTTGTGCTAATTTGCATCTCTTGCATGGCCAGGGCTGTTGACCATTTTTTCACGCACTTATTTGCTGTTTGTATTTCTTCATCTGAAAAGAAGTCTTCATCTCAGATACTCATTTTTGGATTCTGTCTTTAAATCTAGGAGGACTGATTTTTTTTTTTTTTTAGTTCTTATGCATTCCTGATAATAATCCTTTATTTGAGGAATAGCTAGCAAAGGTTTTCTCTTAATATAAACACAGATCAAACAGTGTGTCAGCAGGAGAAAATATACTTGAATTTAGAAGAGTTCTAAGAAAAGAAAAGGCAAAACGTGACTGATTACTTTAGAGAAGCTAGTTAAGTTCCATATCAAATATTACCATGACTATGTTGATCATAGTACAAAAAGATCGGTATAGATTGCTTAGAAATTCTCACAGTGATTATAGAAGTATATATAATTTGCCAGTTGGCTGGCCCAGACCCAAAATGAAAAGAAAACCATTTTTATTTATTTATTTTGTAAGGTAAATAAATAAAGCTTGAAAACAGGTCAATTTCATGCATGTAAGGTTTTATAGTAGCAAAAAAATACATTACACCTCTACTGACCCTTTATGTTTGAGGTTATTGGTTTTCAAACTTGACCTCAAGCACTAGTTTCAGACAACTCTATAATTAATTTCTTAGATACAGCATAAGGATATTTTGTTTTGATTTCTAGGATGATGGCAAAGTAGTAACTGAAATTACTAACCTATTGTACATGGCAATTAATTAAAGAAAAGTGTTAACCATAAGGGAACACCACCACCTCTGTTGTGTCATATCAGTATAAAGAGGCAGTAATTTTTTTGACAGCCACTGATTGGAAAGTTGCTTGCAGCCTTCCAGAAGCAAGGGGGTACATGCTGTGGATCAATAACCGGCAAATTTCCCATTAAAAAGAATACCTGAGCAATGTTTCAAATAGCCACTGGCATCTTAATTTTCCACGGAAACCTCAAATACTTTTGTGCTGAGGACAAGTCATTTTCGGACAATTTTTCCAGACTACTTGTTAACAGTTATTGCTGTCCCAAAAGGTTGGCAGCCTACATGATTGATATTTCATTTACTTGTCATCGCTGTTTGAGTGATGGTGAGTGCTGTATTCCTGTGGTTCTGAGGTGCCGAGGCTCCTGAAAAACATGGCCTTGGTGTGTTCTCTCCCATATGTATATGAGTCATTAGATCCACAGAAGGAGAAGATCACTTTCCTGCATTGTTCAAAACCTTTTGAAGAGCAGGCTTACTTACATCTGTCTATCCCTACCAAAATTCACCTTCGCCTTTATTGTATTAGGGCACAAAGCTTTATTTATATTTGCTAACTTGTGATTCCTAAGATAGTGTGGCATTTTATAGCTACCTTTCACTCCTAAGGAAGACCAATCTTGATCTTGTAATAATTGGTGGTACTGGGGATTGAACCAGGGGCCTTTGCACCAAGCTGTATTCCCAGACCTATTTAAATATTTCTTAAATTTTGAAACAGCATTTCACTAGATCACAAAGTTGCTTCGGTTGGACTTGAACTTGTGATCCTTCTGCTTCAGCTTCCCAAAGTGCTGGCATTATAGGTGTGAGCCACAATCCCTGACTACAAGTTACTTTGACAATACCTACACTTTAACAATCCCTCAAAATACAAAATCAGCAGCTTTTGTGGTTCATATTTTTCTACCAAGATCATCATCTTGTTGTTTGCTTAGAATTGAAAGAAGCCAGTCCAGAACATCTGCAGAATAAGTGGGCCTGTGCTCGCCAGTTGAGATGTTAAGGAGAATGGCTCTGAGACCATAGTATGCTTACTTCATAATTTGTGTTTATGAGGAAAAATGAAAACTTTTTTACTGAGAACTTTATTTGCTGCGCTCAGAATTTTGCAGTGAAATTTGATCCATTCTGAAGGGTTTGTAAAGTGAAAGTAGAAGAATGTTTGAAGCTGCCTTTTAGGCCTAAAAATCATGTCAGTTTTGAATAAGGCATGTCTTGGTTGCTGCTTTCAGTCTCTGTGACTTGGATTTCTGCTCCCGGTGTTTTATGCACAAATGTGTGTAATGTTTCATGAGTTAGCATGTAAGTCTACACCAAATATGAATCTTCTCATTTGGTTTGTATGCCCCAGAGCAAGAGAACAAAAGACAATTTGAGCAGTTCTCACTAAAATACTTTTTGTGGCATTTTGAACGTATGCCATTTAAAATATTTCTTGAACATTAACATATAGTGTTAATTAGTATTTTTATTCTTAAAGCTGAGTGACTGGTGTGAAGGCTAATGCTGTACTGGACTTCTGATCCTGTGAATTCACGGTAGCCATTTTTGTGTGCCACTAGGGGAAAGGCTGATATGTGCATACCAGCAGTTTACAAAAGTGCTATGAGTTAAACAACCCATAAGCGTCTGTTTCAGTATTCATACATTACTGAGTAATCTTTTTCTGTAATCTTTTTGCAGTATTATTCCACGGTAATGGAACAGCAAGTAAATGGACAGTTAATAGAGCCTTTGCAGATATTTCCAAGAGGTAATGTTGAACAAATTCTAATCAACAATGATTATTTCAGTAAAGTGTTTCATCAACAGTTATGTTTTCCAAAGGTTTAAATGCATATAACATGATGTTTAGCTCTTAATTTGAAAAAACAAAAGCATTCATTATCGTGGGGATTGTAGGCTACATTATAGTTATAGCAGATAAAATATCTAATTTACTAGAGTAAATTAAACTAACTAGATTGTCTTTTGTTTTTAAAGTACATACTTACATTCGCTTATAGAACTCTTTGGGGGTCTCCATGGTTTCTAAACCAAGGCAAATGAATGACTTTAATTCTGGATATTTATAAATTGTGGCCAGAGATGCTGTGGAGGAAAAAGCTTTTGGCAAGTATAAATAAGTGACAATGTAGAGAGGAGTTTTAGGAAAGAAACTTGGGTAGAATGTTGGATACTTGGTTTTGGCAGGGACATATTTCCTGAACAATGGCAAAATCTTCCTAAAAAATAAATTTGATTGTGAAATCTCTAAAAATATGAGCTGATGAGGGTGAGTCTCAGTGAAACACCTGTCAGGTAATTTTCTTCTTCCCCTTTAGGTTTGGCAGTAGTAGCTTTGTATCAGATAAGATTGCTCAAGTGTATGTAAATGTTCCTTCAAAATTTGAATAACGGTGAAAAAGAACTATTTAATTATATAAACCATTAAGATTAAGTCTTCCGCCCATTATATAATGTCCCACTTGGAATCTGTGTTTTCTAACTACTGGAACAGATAAGGAAATTCTCTAAGTAACTCTTCTAGAAATAACTTAATTGAAATAATTAAAAGTTAAACTTACCTTCGTTAACTAATACTGTACAAATAATCATGGTATGAGTTTTCCAATTAAACATTCTACACTTTCATTACCTGTAACTCTCTGAAGTTTGAATGGCTCAATTAACCAGTAGGCTCCTATCTGCAGTGACAAAATCTCCAAAGACAGCTCGCTTGGCCAGCCCATTGAGCAACTCTGGGTTCAAGAGCAATCCTGCTGTTCTGTATAGGTGGCAGAGTGAGGAGCACTTATGTCGTTATTAATAATCTATTAAAATGCTAGGGAAGTGAATAAAACTGGGTCACCTAAGGCCAGTTATCATCTGAACCAAGGATTATAATTAGTCCTATTCTGTTGTACTTGAAGACTAAACATCAAAATGGAAAAAGAGTGAGCACGAGAGGGAGACATGTCACCATTTCTGTGTATTTGGACACTAATAAGGATGCGGTGTTTTCTTAACATTCTCGGTAAATGGGGAATTTGGGCACATTTCAAAAATTGTTTCTCCACAAGGAATAGTTTCCTATAAACTGAAAGTTTCCATTAATTGTTTTACAGCCCTAAGAAGCAAACCCAAGTACAGCATCCTGGAAAATCCTATGGGGCTTCATTTTTCTTTTCTTGTGAAATATTTACCTTCTCTGGTTTGGTTTGGTTTTTTCTCACTTTGTGTTTAGTCCTGTCAGTGCCACCACATAGCACAGTGCCTCTTCTGATGGTGATAGCAGCCAGTTTTAGACGTGACCCTGCAGGAGTCCTAATACTGCTCTCTGTGTCGTTACTCTGTTTCTCGTAACAGTGGTGCCTTGGGCTGCATGAGGTATTATTTCCTCTGCTGTGTGAATGAGACGGTTGAGGTTGACAGAGGTTAAATCACTTCAGGGTCACGTAGCATATAAGTGATTGATACACCCTTTGAGTAAGAATTTTATCTAAATTATAATTTGCTTAAAGTAGAAAGGCATGTAAATTAAAATACCACTGCTGTATGCGTGATACTAACTTGAAATCCTGTCTCGCTATCTCAGTGGGGTTTTGTGTGCTATAATTCAACTCTTCCAGTTTTTTACATCTCCTCCTTTGCTACCTGTCTGTATCTATCATAGGTAGATCAATGAGATCATGAAAGGTACACAATTTGAATGCAGGCAAATTGGGTGTAATTACTGGGTCTGCCTAGTGCTTAGGGCCCACAGAACGTAGATTCTGTGTCAGGCCTCATGTTAAAAAGAATTGTTAAACCGAACAAGTCAGATGCAAAGGAGAAAATGATTCTGTTCTAGTAGCATGTTTTCCTCCCTCCAAGTAGCACAGTTGCCTGATACAGTAGCTCTCAGCTCATGGCCAGCTCTTCCTGTAGTTAAAAGATGTGTTAAATATTGAGAAATGAAAATTCACTAACCTTATAGTAACTTCTGGCTTATAACTTTGGGATATATGAGGTTCCTGGTTTTCTGGAATGCTGTTTCAAATTCTAGCTTAAAGATTGAAGAGCAAAGCAGTTGTTAAAATTAAAGATAAGAGTTTATGCCTATTTCTGCATTCTTTGAGTGCCCTGGATACTTTGGTGGAAATATTTTAAGATGTTGTCTTAGAATTACTGGGTCCCAAAGGATCATGTGCTAAATATATATGACTGTTTTACTTAAAAAATTAATTTTCACTGGATATTGTGGTACACACATATAATCTCACTTAGCAGGCTGAGGCAGGAGAACCACAGTTCAATAAGTGAAAAAGGTTTGGGCCGTAACTGGTAGAGCGCTAGCCTTGAGTAAGATCCTAGGTTCAGTCACCAGAACCAAGCAAGGAAGAAAAAGTTAATTTCCTTATTAAGGAAATAAGATTTGAAGCCTTAATTTTAATGTATTTTAGAAAGAGAAGTAAAAACTTTTTATTAAGATTTAGATTTATTTTCTAGGAAAGTAAGAACAAATTTTAATTTACTTGAAATACACAACATAAAAGCAATTCCTGCTATGTAATTATTACATCTTTTTATCAAGCAGCTCTATTTTTTGTAGAAACAGAGGAAAAATACATGTACTTCCAAGGGATAAAAAAATCAAATTCATCCTCCCCTAAACAATCAATCAAAACTGACAGCCCCTTAACATACAATTTGTAGGGCACTGTAGTTTTCAAGTGGAAGTGGTCTATGACATGGGCTGGAAGCTTTTATATATTTAACATTTGATGAAGTAGCATCGCCTGAATTGGAAAAGTAGTAACTTGTAATTTATATTATTTTTTGTGGCATTGCCTTTTCTTTAGACCTAAATGTGAGCAAATGTCAAGATTTGTAATAAGTGTAATGAAATTAGTTAAATATTTTTATTTCAATAAATTCAATTGTTTATGCCTATACAATCTAGTATTCAAACTTGAGGATTCAATTTTAGAGTCTGTGGCAATCTTTTGGGCCTTACAAGGCCTTTTCCCCCTCTCCTCTTCCAAAACAAAAACCCAAAAATCTTAGCTCAGAGTAGTTTAACTGGTAGCAGATACAATGTAATAGACTGAGAAAAAAATTGCAGGAATTTGAATTATGAAAGGAATCTAATCATTTTAGCTCAGTTAACTTGATTTTTATATGTTTTAATCAGAAATTGGAATTTATATGAAGTGGTGTCAGAAAGCTCTTTGCATTTATAAATGCTCACTCCTGCAAGTTAAAACCGTGGTTCATAATTCCCACTTTGGGTCTGGGGAGCTACTTTTCAATCATTTCTCTCTGCTAATTTTGGTGTCACCCTCATTTCTTTTTAAATGATTCATTTTGAGCAAATTTGTAAATGGCCCTGATGTGTTCTACAATTTAGTCAATTACTGTTTCAGCCTGCAAGCCTCCTGGGGAACGGAACATACATGGCCTGAAGGTACGAATTTCAATAATTGTTTCAGTAAAGTTAGATGGATTTGTAATGCTGTGTTCCACTTATTGAAATGTCAAATAAAACTGCACTTTCTCAAGCTCTGACAAGCGATCTTTTTTTATTTTTATTTTTTTTAATGGGAAGTGGAGGGGGATTTGTCTGTAGAATTTGCCAAATATGTGTATAAATTTGGACACTGGATTTTGGTGTTGTAGTTTTAATTATTTGGAATTGTTTGGTTGGTCAGTTTCTTTGGGATGATCTTAGATAACTGGTCTCCTGAAAGATTTATTTGAGTGAGATTATAGTCTTCATTTCAGTGATTAATTAATCATGTAAGCATATTGCACACAGAAAACCCCCCTCTTCTTTTGACATATTTATGCTGACGAGATATATCTGGTTAATGTCTTTTCATTGTTCTGTGTATTTTGAAGTCTGGATTTCTGCTTACAGCTTCATGTCTAAAGAAAAGCTGGCTTTTTTATTAGGCTCAAGTATTTTACAGTGAATTACTCAGTCCTCCTTTCTTGGGGAGAAAGAAACGGTCTATACTGTTGTGTTTCATTGCCGAGCTGGGAGGATATGATACCTTGAAGTTCACTGCTAAACCATAGATGTTCTCAGTGTAGTTTTTTGAGCATATTTTCTGCATCTGTGCTCTAGATAATGAGTTCCATTTTCCCTCTGTTTATCTCACCTTTTCAGCACTGCTTAAGTATTAGAATAATGACAGAGATAGAGGATTATATAATGTACGGATTGTATAGTTCTGTAACCTATATACTGAATAGACTCCAACTGCAGGTCTGTCTAGCAACAAGCTAATTAACTTTCGTAGCGAAATGAGAAATGTGTGGCAAATTATAGGTTAATTAGAACCGTGTCCTCAGAGCACAGGACTGATCAGGATTCTTTCTTTACTTATAGGTGAATACCCGGGCCGGACCCTCACAACACAGTAGCCCAGCAGTCTTGGATTCACTTCCAAGCAATAGGTGAGAGCCAGCAAGGGGCTGTGGCCTGACTTGGTCATCTGCAGAGCCGGAGCTGGATGGGGAAGCGGCCCGTGGGATGACCAGCCAATGCGTGTGTAGCTAAAAGGAGGCCTGTGAATTCACACTAGTAACTGAAAAGCCCACACTGAGCCAGAACCCCTTTCCATCCATATTGAGGTTCGCCTGGGTTCAGGGCTTCAGAGCTGCCTCTTCCTGGCTGAGATGCAATTCAGGGTTCTACTTCCCCTTTGCTGTTTCTTCCTCCTCATCACCCATACTCTTGGCTCTTAGTCTCAGGGGCTTCATGCAGTAATTTAAAGTCTCTCCTCTGAGTCCCTTTACTTTCCTGTCCCTGCCACCAGAGTCACTTCCCTGATTGCTTTGATGTGGCGGCAGGGTATCTACCCACCAACTTTCCTGATCTGAAACATGGCCCCCACAGTTCATCCCTTCTCAAGAGGTCAGCCTGGTTACTCACCGTAGATTCCTGGTCTGGGGTGGGACCAACAGGGCTTTAGTTTTCTGCAGCAGAGCTTTGCTGCTTGTTTCTCTGCTGGCTGGCACATGAGCCAGGGCCTCACCAATGGTGGTGGCAACAGGGGCAGAGGCCCACCCGATACACCCAGCTCTAGGAAGGCAGGACATGTCAGAAGGGCCATCGTCCATACAGACTGCAAGCCCAAAGAAAAACAAGGGCTTTGCCTGGTGTTTTAGAGCAAATGTTATCATGATATAAACAGCAAAATCGAATTGAAAAGATGGTAAGTTGGTGATGCTGGATAACTTTTTAGATCTCCCAATTTCATTGTAACAACATGTAAGGATTAGTGTGGATATTTAAAAATTATCATATACATTCAGGTTGTTATAAGATCATCACATTAGATATAAGTTCAGAGATTACCTGATAATCTAATGTTCTTAGATGTTTGTAGTGTTTTCATTTAGGGATGTGACAGCCTCCCAAACAGTAACGATCAAGTTGCTCTAGTAGTATTTCCTGTTATGGGAGGAGTGTTAGTTGAAAAAGAACAACAGCTGATTTTAATATGCCACCTTAGGTTGACCATGTTCTGTGCTCCAGGTAGTAAGTACTTCTTAGTTACCAGGTGTGGTCCTGTGCCCTAAGAATGGCAATTACTCCTGAAGGTCACTATCTAATGGGTATACATACAGTAAAACAAGAGTACATGGCAATTATACTTTAGTTAGTCTTGTGAAGGTAACAGACTTGGTGCTCAGGGAAGGGTCCCTGGGAGGAGAGCTTGGTTCTGTCCAGACTTGAGGGACAAGCACAAAAGAGGGCCCTGCAGTGGAGAAGGAGTCCAGCATCACGTAAGAAGCCAGTTGGGCAGGACCAGGGGAGAGCTGGCATGTTGGGACAGAAGATAGGATAGGGACCCTAGTAGAGGGTTTGGCAGCAGCATGACAAGGCTAGCCTGTGTTTTATCAGACCCTCTACCTGGATACAGAGGAGTAAGAGGACACCCCTTAATCTGGCACCTTCGATGCTTGCTGCCCCATTTCTTGCCAGAGGGGCAAGACCTTTCTGTACATCCCTGGGGCAGGAGGCACTTCATTGGCCAAGAAAGCCTTTGTTTTCATTTCGGTCCTCTTTGTGAGCTGAGATTTGTCTGTCTTCAGTGCACACTTGTAAAGATTTAGTTTAGGAGGTGCTGGTTCCCTTCTAAAGATCATGGCTCTTCCCATCATCTTCCCATCAAGCAAATTGCCCAAGCCACCCTTACTCGACACCAGCCACCACTCGCACACACAGATACCCCGTTGCTGCACAGCTGTCCCAGGCTGTCCCTGTCTCTGCCACCACCTCCTGGTCATCCTCCATCCATCCTTGCCCCACTCTAGCCCCTCTTCCATACCACCACTGAAGTGATCCTGCCATTTGTATTCATTAGCTTTTCCTTAGTATAATTAAATCCACAGGTAGCTGGCTTTATTAAGTTATGAGGACTTTTTAGCTCACAGTTTTGGAGGCCAAAAGCCCAGACAGTGCCACACAGGCTCTGGCAGCCCCTTGGGCTCTGTCGCCTTCCTGGCAGATTGCAGTGGTGGAGCATGAGCCGGAGCAAGCAATCAGTCCTTTTATAGGGTACAGCCTCAGGGGACCCAAGGGCCTCCCACTGGGCCCCACCTTTTCAAGGTCCTCCTCCTTGTGCAGACCCATGGGGGATGAGTCAGGACCCAGCCTCAGCAGTAACACCCTTGAGGGAGACATCATCCTGCCAAAGCTCATCACTGCTCTCCGTGCTGCAGAGAGGGAAGGCCCCACGGGCACTCAGCTGTGGCCTCTCACGTCGGGTGCTCTGTCCACTGCAGCCTGGCTCGTGAACTCAGGGCCCTGAGTGAACCGGGTCCTCTCGCTACTGGGCCTGCACTTCTATTGCCACTCTTTCCTGTCTGTATCCTTCTCTCATCTACACTTTCACCTTCAATCTGCCTAATCTTGATCGTCTTTGTAGACTACATTAACTTCTTTTGAAAGCTGATCTGAATACCAGCCACTTGTCATCTGTGCTGGGAAACCTGTCCTTGATTCCTGTAATTGTGCCTCTTATTTGCATTTAGAGCAGCAGTGAGCACATTGTAAGATAGTTACCTCTAGAAGCTTCCACAGTAGCTTCTGTGCTCTTTGAGGGCAATGATGGCAGCGTATTTGTTGTCAAAGACTCAGTTCTTGCCATGGTGCTTGGCACAAAGGAGATGAATGAATGAATGAGTGAACAAATGAACGTGTACTATACCTCCATCCCCTCATCTCTGGGATTGACTCATCCAATTTATTCAGCTTTCCTGATATTATTTCTAGGCCCTTTTACCTTTTCATTCTTCATATGTCTCGATGCTTCTCTTCATGTGTCATACCCAGGTTACAGTGGTATGACATTTAAATTTTAAAATGTTTTCAAAAGTGACTTTTATGATAACTATAACCTTACAGATAAATAAAATATTTAATGAAGTGAATTCAAAGAAATTTTTAGATACAAACTGATGGGAATTCTGCTTTTTCTTGTCTTTGTTTGTTTTGGTTTTCATACATGCGGACTAATCATGCAGTCACCACTAAGCTACACTACCAACTCCACAGAATGTTTTTTTTTTTTTTTAAATCAGATTAAAGTAGCCAGAGATTGGCATAATGAATAAAATCAGTTTTCTTCTGTTATTTTCAGAGCATGAATTCTTCTCTTTGCCATAGGTGAATGACTATTTATTAAACTAAGCTTACTAATCTACATGGTGTTCCTAGGCCATAATTACTGAATTCACATCCCACTGCAAAGGCAAGTACTTTCCTACACAGCTTCGCTTTCTTCTGTAAAACTGGGATGATTAAACTTTCCATCTGTCTACCTCTGGTGTTAGTAAGATTGACGACACTGTGTTAAGGAATCACATTTTGTTTCTTGGATGAAAGGCATTTGTAAATGCAGTGAGTCAAAATGTTGTTATTTCAGGTTTGTGATATAATGAAATATGTGTGGAGAAACAATGCCCAGGCTTTGTTTGGTTGTGTCTTTACAGTAATTGAAACTATCAAATTGAGATTCATTTATAGAAATACTAAGATTTAAATATTTTCCAGAAAAAATGTTTATATAAGAAATAGACTTTGAGCAAGGTCTGTACATCAGTTGTTTCTTTATAAATTAGATGTAATAACTATAAGGAGTTACTATAAAATTAAATTGGGATAATAAGTAACAGCATTTAGCACAATGATTAGTACTTGTCATTGCTCAATAAATAATAGTTGTTATCATTTGTTAACAGTACTGATTTTAGGCATTGTTTGTTTTTTGGTGTATGTTTCTATTTTGGTCCCATTCTATAGCTCTCTTAACTGCCAGGCTAGTACATGGAGTCTTAGACTTCAGAAGACAGAATTTAATAAAGTCTAGCACCCTTAGGTGAGGTCATGTCTTATAAAAGCTAGGAAATTAAAAGCTGAGCCTCAATAGTCCGGACTAGATCATGTAGAAATTTAAGAAGTATTTAGAAAGAAGCACAGTTACAACCTGAAATGAATGTATAGTCTCAGTTTGAGAAGTCTGAGTTTTTCTCAAATGTAGTATGTTAGAAGTGCTGTGTGGAGGGGCTGGGGATTTAGCTCAGCGGCATAAGCACCTGCCTTGCAAGCAGGCAGTCGTGAGTTCAATCCCCGGTACCGGTAAAAAGCAAAAAGACCAAAAAAAACACAAAGAAGTGCTGTGTGGAATGCATATATACTTTATATGAGGTCCTGAGACCTTTTCTTTCTCATGTTTTCATGATCTTTATGTCTTATTGCGTTGCTATGATGACTGCTACACTATAATAATAAACCAATGATCATTTAATGGTATGATAAAAAAGTAAAGTGAATATTTAACTTACAAAATTTATTACAATAGAAGATACATTGCCATTAATCCCCTTCAGAATACTCCCCTTGTCACCAAACACACTAATCCCATCATTCTTGCCAGTTTCTGAAGCAGTTCTGGAAATCTTCTTTCATGAGTTTTTTTTTTTTTTTTTTTTTTTTTTTTTTTAATTTTATTTAAGGAGAAAAGAAAAAAAAAAGCAGGGAAAGGGTACAAGTTATACAGATTTACAGAAAAAAATGAACAGTAGGAAATCACTAGTTAATGGATTACATATTGTCATCTTAGAAATAATTGTTCAAGTCACAAAATTAAAGCTTGTAAAGTGGACGTTCCATCAATGATACTGCAAACAGTTCTGTTCATTGATCCAATAAAACTCTGTGATATCATTTTCTATCTTATACACTTAAATATACATGCAGTTATATAGTTTAGAGTACTTTCTTTTCCTCTCTTTTGTACCATGACTATTACACATTTTGGGTTTCATTGCTCCCACGGTTCTTATTACTTTTTTGGAAGAGAGTAAAACCAAATGTGACATAACAGAACAGAATCGGTCAAGTCAAAAGGGTGGACATAATAGATAATGTAAAAACATAATACAGGTGATCAACAATGGTTACCATAATGTCTCCCGCTATCTCTAATAGAATTGCCTATATCATTAGTTATAATACAATTGAACAAAACAGTAAAGAATAAAACCGACAAAACCAAAACATTGGAGACATTGTAGGTCTTCAAAAGTAGCTAAAAGTCAACAAGAATGGGCGTCATAATGAATCTCATTATCTTCACAGCTGATGCCTAAACTTTCGAACCTGATACTATCCAGCAAAACAGAATAGGGGAACATCAGTTAAAAACCAGATGGTGAGAGTAATACAGGGCTTTAAATCAAGGTAATGAAAAGTCAAAATGGGTTACTATAATATATCCTGCTATTTTTTTCCTTTAATTAAAAGGATAAAGATAAAAAAGTAAATAATGGAGTGGAGATTGAGATAAAAGAGGGCATAACAACGAAACAGCGCAGATCAAAACATAACCATTTAAGCAGAATAGTGTTTCACCACCAGATAATCCTAACCTAAAAGTAGTTACCATATTGTTTCTTTCTTTGAAATCCTTGAGTACAACTTCGTATACTGTAGCATTAAGTATATCAAAACAATGTAAAACCATTCAAGAGAATGACAGCATTACAGAGTATTTAGAATCGACTAACAGAAAATGAACAATGGTTTCTGTATAATCTCCTTGTCTTTAAAAGGTTTTTGCTTATACTATCGTACATAATAAAATCCAATAAGATACAGCCTATTTAGACCATTGGAGACAGAAGGACAAAAGCTAGATGAGACTTCAAAACAAGATGATACTAAATCAGTATTACCTATTAAGATGTCATTTTCTCCAAAATAGCTGTTCCTATCATCCAATCTTCTCTGCCTCATTTCTGTTAAGCTCTTTTTCTGTCAGTAGCTGTCAGTTTGTCTTCTTCATTTTGTTCTCTGCTCCATTTGTTGTGGCCTCCCCGCCACTATTTCTGGGTTCTTTGTATTTTTCTTTTTTTAGAATATCCTGCAATACTTTCTGTAGAGTTGAATTGGTTGTTGCAAATTCCCCCAGTTCCTCTTTATCCTGGAAGCACCTTGTTTTTCCATCAATTTCCAGGGACAGTTGTGCAGGATATCTCAATCTTGGCTGGAGATTATTATCTTTCAATGCTTGAATTATTTCCCCCCACGCTCTTCGTGATTTGATGGTTTGTGCAGAGAAATCTGCTGTAATTCTGATGGGTGTTCCCTTGTAAGTGGTCTGTTTCTTGTCTCTTACAGCTTTTAATATTCTGTTCTTGTATTGAATTTCTGGAATTTTTATTATTATATGCCTGGGTGTTGCTCTGTTTGGGTTGTAGGTAGCTGGGGTCCTGTATGCCTCATACATCTGAGTATCTTTACCTTTTGCTAAATTAGGAAAATTCTCCTGGATTATTTCTGTGAGTAGCTTTTGTAGTTCACTTGTTTGCATCCCTACTTCTTCTTTTATGTTCTTAATCCTTAAGTTATGGATCCTCTTATCATCTTCTTGTCTTTGTATTATTGCTGTTTGTTTCTTTGTTATTTTTAAGAAGTTTTTCATTTCATTCTCCCATATTACAAGTCTGCCCTCCAGTTCAGATAGTCTGTCCTTAGTTTCTTTCAAGCTGTTATGCCAGTCTTCGATAGACTTCTTAGTATCTTGGTAGTCCCTTTGAACCTGCTTCACGTATTCTATGCTTTCTCTGTTTTCTCCATCAAACAATTCTCCCCTTTTTTTCTGTTCTTCCATTCCATCACCTGTTTTTTCTTGGGTGGTGCTTAGCATTTCTCTAACTATTCTGCATACTTCTAGCTTCAGGTCGTTGATAACTTCATTCCTGAATTGGTCTATGAGGCTCTCTATATGGTGCCTTATGTGTATTGGTGCGGTGTCTGCTATTGCCTGTTTCTCAGAATTGGGGGCCGAGGAGACTTTCTTGTTGCTGCCTCTTCCCATGCTGCCTCTTCTTCTCTGTTCCTTATATATGCAAGCTTATATAAGAGGCCCAGCTTCTCTCCCAGTCAGCCACAGCCTGATCAAATTGCGCCAGTTAGGTGTTCCCGCTCACCGCTGCGCACCAGGGAGTTACGGACCAGGCAGCCTACGCGTCTCCCCTCCCGGCCACCGTCAGGCTCTGGGATCTGGGTTGGGACAGTCTACCAGGTCCGCCGGCAGCGTCACGCAGGCCAGGCACTTTTCACCAATCCCGCCCGAGAGGGGGATGTGTGGCTGGAGTCGCCACCGCGCCCTGCTCCCGCAGGACTGCTCGGGCCCAGAAAGTCCTCTGCTGGAGTCAAACTGTGGTAGAGTGTCAGTTTCTCTCACTCACCTCACCATAAGTCAGTGCACGCCTCCCTGCCGTTCGCAGATTGCCATTCTCAGAGCTTCTGCACGTCTCTCCCCTTGCCGAGCCGCTGTAGAGGCAGCCAGCCGCTGCGTGGCGGGAAACCCAAATCGCGGCTTACAATGGCGCGGTTCCAGCCTCCACACCGAGTCTTTTCTGTTCCTGTTTTAGCACCAGGACTGCATTCCAAGTTGGCTTCTCTCAGCCCAGTTCGTTCCTGAGTCAGCAGAGCATATCTCCACCTGCTTATGTCTCCTTAGTCCGCACCATTCCTGGCTTCTGAGCCGAGTCTTTCAGAGAGCCGCCGGTAGTTGCTGTTATCTGTCCGCCATGTTCTCCCGGAAGCTTTCATGAGTTTCTTTAGTTGTGTTATCATGGCCGTCTTGATGTCCTGAATGAACTCAGAGTGTTTACCTTTTGTAGTCATTTTGACTTTGTGGAAGAGTCAGAAGTTACATGGTACCAGATCCAGTGAATACAATGGGTGAAGGCACACTGTAATATTTTGAGGTTTTTTTCCTCCATGAGTTTGACTATTTTTTTTATTAAAAGAATGAAACCAAAAACGAATAGAAGAAAATAATAAAGATCAGAAAACACAATCCCTTATCAAAATGTCAACATCATTTTTCGTATACATTAACATTTTTATTCTTATATTTCTGTAAAAATACAAAAGACTTAGAATAGTCTAAGCAACTTTGAAAAAGGCACAAATTAGAGCTCCAGCTCTCCCCAATCTCACAACTTATCACAAACTTACACCAATCATGACAAAACAGCATGGATATCAAGATAGACAAACCACCAAAGTACCATTATAAAGTCCCAAAACAGATATGCAAATAACAGACATTTGATTTCTGGCAAAGGTACAAAAGCAATTAAGTGGAGAAAGGATTGTGCCTTCGATAAATACATGGAACAACTGCATATCCACATTGTAATATTTTATTTGACAGAAATTGCCACAAATGTAAATTGCTTCAGAAAGTGGCAAGCATGATGGGCCAAGTGTTTTGCAAGAGAGGAGGAGTATTTTGAGGAAGATTAATAGCAGTGGGTCTTTTACTATAATAAATTCAAATTTAAACATTCACTGTATTTTTGTCACTTATATTGGACACTCAGCACATGTTAAGTCATTGGTAAGGTTCAAGGGTGAGAGGGGATGAAAGAGAAAAATATAGAAAGAAAAAGAAAGGAATATATACAATGAGACATGGTCTGTCTTCTCAGGGAGTTCCCAGTCTTGGGAGAAGATGTGGTGAAGAGAAAAACATTTATATTAGTAACTAACACAAGAGAGAGGGTTAAAGTGGTAGGTAGAGGAATAGATAGGTTAAGGAAAAAGTTAACAAGCTTTACATGTCACCAAGAATATCAGTAATATACCCTGTGCTGCTGTAGTATGTTAGCTTTCAATTACGGAAGTAAATACCTGAGAAGGTTTACATTGGCTTATAGTTGTGGTGGTTTCAGTCCATAGTTAGTTGACTCCATTGTGCTCGGCTCATTTGACCAGGTAGCCTGTTGTGGTGGGGCCATATAGTGGAGGAAGATGTTCACTTCATGGTGTCACAGAAGTAGAAAGAGACACCAATGTCCTGCAGTCCCCACTGAAAGCATGCCCACAGTGACCAAAAATCTCTAACACTTTCTGCCAATGCCAATCTATATCACCAAACCTTTCATACTTGAGCTTTAAGGGGACACTCAAGAGCCATATGCTCAGAGAACATTCTCATGTGCCTTATTAACACTGAGCACTGAGTCTCATACCTGTAAGCCTCAGTGCTGTTTTGTAATATTTAATTTTCCTAGTTGCCCTCCAAAGTTAATATTTTCACCATTTTATAAAAAGATGAGATTGAAGTTCTGAGAGGATAAGTAACTTGCCCCAGATCACACAGCTGTTGAGAACCAGCGTTTATTTACTTGTACTTTAATTGTAGTAAAAGAACAGGACCTAAGGCATGTGTTTTACTTTTTGAGGTTGTCTAATCTGCAGGTGCATTGTTAAATACTTTGTGTTTAACAGATGACAGTGTCCACATAGAATTGCCACTGAAAGGCTACCCAAAGGCTGTAGAACTAATTGCCAAAATGTCACTGCAGCAGTCCATAAAATACTGTAGCTTCTTCTTGACTGCAGGCTTCTTCATTATTGTAGAATACTAATGGGTTTTCAGTCACTTCATTGATACCTTTGGTTTTCAGTCAGTTACTTTGGAAAAACATCTCCTTCAGAGAGGATTGTAGCATGCCTCCACCTAAAAGCAAAGATATATTTTAGTGTCATATTCGGAAGTGTTTTTGATCTCACTACTAAAAATTATGTCTTTCCTTTTCAGCTTAAAGAAGTCTTCTGCCGAACTAAAAAAAATATTAGCCAATGGCCAGGTAGGTATTATTACCTATTAAGATTTTCAAATGATAGCATCTTATTATATCCAGTTTATATCCATACACTTATGAAACAATAGTCTGAATTTCTTCTTGTCATAAATGAGGCACATGGCTTAATTTGATTGGCAGAACAATTTGCAGCCTGTTTTTCAAACTGTGCTAGTGGCTTTCTCTCCCAACAGATTGAAGGACCATGCACATATTCCACCACCATCTCTGTCTAAAAAGTTAATCAGTTCTGAACAAGTGTGTCAACCCAGGGGTTGTTGAAATGGCCCTGCATTCTGAGGCAACTGTTTCTTTCATTATCTTTGGGGAGAAAAGGGAAAATCTGTTATCTTCTTACCTTAGCTCCATCTTTTGTCCTGAAACTAACACTGGCTTTGTAGGGGACCAGGGGAACAGCAGACCTTTGGTACATAAACTCTCTAGGGTCCCAGAGACCTTGGTTTGCCTGGTCGACAGGCTGTCTGAAGCCAAATGACCTACCTCGGCTAGTAAGGGACAAACAGGCCTGCAGGCCAGTTATTTCTTACTAATTTTGATTCAAATAAATGGCCACATCTGAAATAGCATAGCGCTTTTAAACATACGCAGGTAAATTAAGCTCCCTACAGGTCCTCAATTCTTCACTAGCAACATAAATGTGTTTTAATGTTTGTTATAGTGGAAGCCCTTTGATAGCCTTGGAGGCAGGCGCCTGTCCATTGCGATCAAGCCTGCCTATTAGGCTCTATTGACTGAGACATCTGTGTCACTGCAAATAAAAGACTCTTATTGATTTTCTTAACTGCTGTTCACTTCCCGTCCATGTTTCGAAGGCTGAAATCTTAATTATCTCAGATGCTTATTCAGTGCCTTCACACGCTGACCTCTCCTAGCCTCATTGGCATTTCATGAATCAAGTACTTGTAGTGGAGCATGTCAGGAAGACAAAGCTGGGTCCTCACACTTGTCCTTTAATATCACCTGTAACATTGTGGCCTAATAGATGTGCATGCCTCGAAACGATGATTGTGGTCACGCTTCTGGAAGCCTGCTTAGTTAGCACACAGTTCTTTGAATCCAGTTAGAAAAAATTAAGTGGATCTGATTCTGACAATTCATCATCATCCAGTGTGTGTGCATTTTAGTCCTTAACTATTCTGCACACACCTGAGAGATTCTGGTGTTAGGTGTATAATCTTGCTAGTCTCAAAATTTAAGTCAGTTTGTTTGTTTGTTTTTTGGTTGTGCTGGGGATTGAACCCAGGCCTCACGCTTTCTAGGCATGTGCTGTGTACCCCTGAGGCACACCCACAGCCCCCAAATTCTTGATAGTATTTGATAATACTTTTATCTTTAAGCAGCCAGATGCCTATTGAGATTGAGGTCCACATCCATATCCCCCAGTGCCTACAACGTGAACACAACCAGTATGAAGTAAAACCTGACTAAAAGCAGAAATATCGAGCTGAGGATATTTATGTATCTTCAACACACTTGCATTCTAGTTACTAATTGTAATTTATGTACAAGTCACTTGTGTTCTTCGGCTGGAAAATATATTTCAAAATTGACATAAATTAAGCTTTAACTACATTAGTTCAACGCAGGCAATGGAAAATAATCTGTCATAGGCTTCTCTTTCAAAAATGAAATACATTTTCTTTCCACTGCCAAAAAAAAAAAAAAAAAAACAAAAGCATTCTGAAAGGTTTTTACAACAAACCCAGTACCATAAATATCTCAGTGGTCTCAATTATGAGGTTCTCTGTGGTAGGAGTTTGTCATGGCAATGATTTTTGACACTTAAAGATTGTTTATTGCTTTCCCTTGGGAGTGGAATAACCCAACATTGAACAGTACGCCATTTTCCCTCTTTTAAAGATAAACTGCTATTATTATTATTATTTATTAACTTTTGCTTAAAAAACACAACAAACCCCCCTCCTCCATCTTTGGGAGCTTTCAAAATACCTCTTTCTACAAATTCCTCAGTTGACACTGTATGGTAACTAAGCAGCAGTGAGAGCTCGCTGCCCCTAGGTGATTGTGCGGTGTGGGTGTCAGTATTCCCGGGCTGCACACTGACACTATTTGGTGTGGAAGATGTAAGTCACATTTAACTATACTTTAACACTTGAGTGTGGTTTTTTATTTTAGTGGTTTATGCTCTCAAGCATTAATAATGAATTGCCTTTCCACTGGCCTCCACTTAGATTTAATAAGGAATTAATATTAATCATTAAAAGAAAGGGACATGATTCTTCAAGATAATCAAATATTGACAGGTTAGAAATAGCTTTCTGCCTGGGTTCATTGATATAGGTTATGTGATATAAATATTTATTTCTTTTCTGTCACTCAGAGTAAATGCCACCAATTGATTCAGCATTGATATAGTGTCAACAGTTCATAAGAAACATTTGACTGGCTTGTATTTTCCGATTAGTCTCTGCTCTATAAAGTGGGATTTACTAAATCTCTCCAATTGTCTGCTCATAGAGTGTGACTGCTTTCTGAAACCATTATTACTTCGATTTGTGAAGCAAAGGTCTAGTGATAGCACTAGTTTCTATCAGACCCTTCCATATAAAATAAGGGCTAATTGAGCATTTTTATATTTTTTTATTTTATTTTAATGATTTATAAGCGACAGATACTGATTCTTCTTAACACAGGCAAATAATAAGGAAGGTTTTCTTTGCTGATCCATAATTGAATTCCATTTCATTTTTCCCATTAATCTCATTAATACATTCAATCAAGCACTGTTTTTAAAATTTAACATGTAGCGTTTGGAATGGAGACTTTGTTTCCCTGGTATCACCTTGTGATGGAAAATTCCATTTCTCCAGCTTAAAAAAAATAAATCAGAAGATATTTTTGGCATGTTTTATTGAGAGCTGTAAATCAGTCTCACTACTCTGTTCTCTGGGTGTGTTTTCCCCACTCAGGTTCAGTGTGGCATTGTCTGTTTAACATTGGCCCTGGGTTTGAAACTGGTTAGAAATAGCCCAAATGGTTGAGTTAAAGGACTGAAAAAATACACAGTTATTCCAAAGATGTGTAATTTTGACCTTTGTATCTTTAAAGATATTTTTCTTTTTTTCATTTTTTGTATTTTGTAGCAGAGGATGGCAATATTTTCCTATTCCTGATAAATCAAGTGTAAATATATTGTGAAGTCACAGATCTAGAACTAATTCTGGTCCTGCTGCATCTTTTGTTGTTATTTAGAAAAACTCTGTGAGTTTAGATCAGAAGGGGTGAGGAATAGGAAGTACAGTGGTACCTCAGTGCACAAACTCAGATTTCTCCACCATTCTGCTTGCAAACCAAACCAGACAAGAACCACATCAAATTTCTCCATAAGGTCAACATTGAACTTAACCAGTACCTTTGGTTCAATTCCTGTCCAACTCACTTTGCAACGAGAATCAGGAAAAGAATCAAGTTTGTGAACTGAGGTACCATAGTAGATCTCTATTATAAAATTAGATTTAAAAACCAAATCATCACCAGTGTGTAATATTCTTAGATTTTAATAGTTCTCTCTAGGTCCCGTAAGATGAGTGAAACACAAATGAGACTGTGTAGGTAGCTCAGAACTGCTCAGTGCCTGCTTCTGCCCACACGAATGCGGCCTCACTGCCTGTAGGTGGCTGCTGTCTCCGTTTCTGTCTTGGTCTCTGTGCCTCATTTAGTAAGCAGAGATCCATAAGTCATTCCTCCAGGTCATTCACTATCTTGGCTGGTACAGGTAGCAGTTGTAACCATTATGACTTTTTTCCTCCTCTCTCGCATGTCCTTTCTTGCTTCTTGTTTGCTTTTTATATTTTTTTTAGTTAGAACAAGAAGCCTGAGCTACATTTAAAAACTCTTCTGCATCTTTAATGAATTAAAAAAACTTTATTTCACCTCTTTTCAATATAAAAAGCTGTGTAGTTTTAAAAACGTGTCTCTTCTTCAAAGCAAACATCATAGCAATGAAGAGGACTTTTACTTGTGAGTGCCTTCCAGGAGTTGGGCTGTCTTCCTGGGGCTGTGGCTCTGGATAGAGAGCACTTTGAAATGGGTGTATTGAAGGATCAAGTTCTAGTCATTTTGTTTTGTTTTGAGGCAGGGTCTTGCAATATAGTTCAGGCTGATCTTGAACTCACTGTGTAGCCCAAGCTAACCTTAAACTTGTGGCAATTCTCCTGCCTCAGCCTTGTGAGTACTGGGATTACAGGCATGCCTCAGCACACCTGGCTGAGTATTAGTAATGACTAGTTGTTATGTTGAGTTATATAACCTAACTAGGTTAGACCAATGGCCATGAAATGCTGAAAACTGACAATTCTTTGATTCTTTTTTTTTTTTTTTTTTTTTTGTCTTTTTCCTTTTTACCGGTACTGGGGATCAAACTCACGACTGCCTGCTTGCAAGGCAGGCGCTCAAGCCGCTGAGCTAAATCTCCAGCCCCCAATTCTTTGATTCTTGATCCCACCTGAAATACTTAAGTTCAGTACTTTGCAGGCTTATGTAGCACCTCCCCCATTTCATAATAAGCACAATTCCTGTGCCTTCATGCTAATCAACTAAAAAAGGCGAAAGTGTTACTAGCTGTTCGTTAATTCCTTTAGTGATATTTTTCATAGCTAAGATCAATAAAATTAGCCCACTCTGATCAGATATGAATGTTTCAAATGTTTCTTTAGTAATCAGTCCCTGGGCTCTTAATTTTCCCTTAAAAAATATATTTTTAGGTGCGATAGTGCATGCCTGTAGACCTAGTACTCGGAAGGTTGAAGCAGGAGACTCACTTGAGCCCGGAAGTGAAATTTCTCTACTAGAAATCCGCTTTAAGCCACAATGAGGGTGCAGCATGTTAGGCAAGTTAATAGTACGAATCAGGTCGTTGAAGGCATGCTTACCTTATTTAGAGACATCTTCTTGGGGAATTGGCCTAGTTGCCTCTTTGTACCCGCCAACGGATAGAGCTGTTCACATATCCTTTACTGATCAAAGCAAAGTAAATAACAGCTCTACTCCAGACACTTGAAGTGCTGGCTTTCTTCATGCCATCTCTTTTATACAGGTTAAAAGTGGTGGGTTTTTTTTTCTTTCTTCCTGTGTTAGTGGTATAAAAGTAGTGAAGAACAGAATCTCCCTCAAATAAGAAAGTAGTTGCCAGGTCATTTTTTCACTGACCTTAAAATATAGTAATTAGCCAGTTGTAAATTGCATCAGTTGGGCTGTACTACAATTAAATTGGGTGCTGAATTGGCCTTTCCACATTAATCTGTCGATACTCTTTTAGGGATTGGCAAAATGGCTTGGAAAGGAAGCTGTTTCTGTTACCTGCAATGTACCCCTAATTATCACAGATCTCTGAAGCTTCAACTTCAGAAATCTATAGAAGAAAAATATTTCCCTTGACAAATGAAGCCTGGCTTTATTCAATTGGTGGAAGTTTGGAGTAGAGCAAATATTTAAAGCTTTACTATAATGGTCTGAAAGCAAACTATTTTTTTCCAAGTGATATTGAATTAAAAACTCCATCCTTTTCTGCCCATGCAAGGCAGTGCAATTCCCTGGAAATTGATTTTTTTTTTCAGGGTTTACTATGGCATTTCCCAAGCTTTCACTATATGGAAAATAATACTTTATTAAATCTATTTAGTGAATAAAGTTGACAGTTAATTTTTAAGCAGTTGAACCAGTACATAGAAATTCACAATGCATCAAATAGAATCTGACTGGTCTTAAAGTCATTTGATAAATGATTATTTAAGGAGTTCCCCAAAAATCTCTGAGACATTATTTTGTAGGTGCTAATATAATTCACCATCTAGATGTGATAAAAATGAATATAGTATTTTCAGTATAATAGATTTTGTAGTCTTAGAAAATGCATGCTGTTTTATGTATGTACTATAAAAGTGACCAGTTCACAAAAACTACTTCTGTATATAGTTTTCCCTTTGTGCATGATAATGCTTGACTACACATGCATTTTGAAGTATATTTATCTGACACTTTTGCATCACAGTAGTATGATTTCTGCACAGTTACAGCTGTGCACTAATTTACCATTTGCAAAGCAAAATTCTTTCTCTTGCAGGGAAATGATAAACATTGTTCAGATAATTGGCTGTTAGGGTCACCTGAGGAGTTTCCAGTGGCTGATGTATTTACAGATCGTGGGTTAGATTCCTGGCTGTTGTCTGTGCGTGTGTGTTGTCTTTTCAGATGCGACTTTACGTATGTGCAGTGCTGTTTGATCTTGGTTATATGCAGTGCTAGAGACTGTTTTCTTACAGTCTGTCTGACCTGACCCTTTTGAGCTATTTTATATCATTCCATTTTGACACCTTTTATCAAACTTTAATGAAATGACCCAGGCAAACAAATTGTCATTAAACTTTCCATCACTTTGTCCCTTGGTATCGTCTTTTATAAATTGGACAGCAAATGTTGTATTGATCTTCTCGTTCTTGCAGCTGAACTTGAAATGACCCAGACTGCTTGTTGTTTATGGCCCTGAGTTGCTTTTCCTTGACATTTCCATCCACGGCATGACACTTTCTGTTTTTCTTTCTTTCTTGTGGAGATGAATGAACAAGACATACGATATCAAGACACCCTTGGTCATGGCAACGGAGGCACTGTCTACAAGTAAGTAGTCAATTTTGTTTAAACTTTCTATCCACCTTTATCAAGCGCTGGGGATCCACGGACTCCACGGCAAAGCTTTTTACATGCCCACCAGCGTCAGATTTTATTTCCAGGTTTCAATCCAGAATTCTGCAAGGTGTCTTCTATTTTCTCAAGAATTGCCTGAAAAGTGCATTTATATTGCCTTTTTAATATTTCCAAGTCTGCATCTCTCATGAGCGAGCAGTTAATAGTCCATCATTAACAAGTGTACCTTTAACTAGCCTGAAGTTTAATGCATGTTTTCCTTTGCTCTTTCACACCATTATTTTTTTTTTTTTTTTAACTTGCTAGCACCCTATGCTGGTCCCTTGCCCTTCGACAGTTATGCCTAGTGGAAGCCAAACCTTATAAATACCATTGCTCTGCCCTGTGTTGACACTATAAGTTATTAAAAAATCTCCTTCTTGTTGTATTTCTTTTTCTCCTTCCCCCACTACCCTTAGAGAATTTCCATACACATTGATAAATATGTTAAGTTATAAAACTCCCAAATTCTAGTTGCAGTGATCTTACCCTAAAGGAGAGTTCATTTTCATATTAAAAAATGCTAACCATAAAAAATAGTTCTCTCAACAGGGAAGTCTTTCTCATCAGTAGTGCAAAGTTTAAAATACATAATGTAATATCTGATACTTAATAGTCTGCAATGGTATAAAAAATATTCCACTAGGAATTAAAAAATCCATACTCTGTAAGAAAGCCTTGAGGGAACAATAAAGCTTTCCTTTAGAGAGCTGTTTTCCATGTGTACGCTAACCCTGCATCACGCTCTGATTGTGTTTCTTACCTTACATATTTTAACATCGATATTAATCTATAGTCTCAGGGTTATAAAATAATTAATTTATTCTCTAATTGATTACTCATGTTCTTAGAATTCTAAGTCCTGATTAGCCACATGAATACAGATAGCAGTTGCCCTGTTGTTGTATAGCCATGAAGAGTTCTATCCTAAAATTCCACACGCTTCATCTGTTCATGTAGCCTTGGCATAGAATTCAGTGTTTTGAGGCTCAAAGCTCCTTCAAAGCCAACTGGTAGGGCCACCCATCAAGGGTTTTGGGTTGCTTAACTAGGGTGTGAGTCCTTGTTCCTAAAAATAGTCCTTTAACAACTCATGTCCACATATTTGGAATTTTTTTCTCCCGTATTTGACTATCATGAATAGTTGGCTTGGAAGTTAAGTCCTTCCACTTTGAGAATTCAGAGAAACATTTAATTCCATCCTTGGTCTTCCCTATGAGTGGTGGAGGCCTAACGTGTCCAAGTTCTGAGGCTGCTGTGCCCTGTTCCTGGATCATGCTAGTGATCCCTTCCAGGAAGCCCTTTTTCCAAGTTTCCTCCTCTTTCCCCTTCTCTGACTTGAATTTCTTACCCTGTTCTGAAGTTCTATAGAAAGAAAATACGAAGGAACCTGTGCACTCCAGTTTGCTTCTCTTGAGTTCCCTGAAAGTTTTCAAGGCTTCAACTTTTCTTTTGAAAGCTTCTTTGCTGGCAACCAAATATGATAAAACAGAAAGGATTTCTAGCATTTCTTTAGATTTCTTTTGTTACCTTCAAAAACATTTTTGCAGAATTCTAACTTCTGTTTCATCAAATGTTTAGTTTGTATTTCTTAATTGAAGGCCTGTTGTGAATTTACTGTCCTGACACATTCCTGAAGGAACATAAACCTCAGCAGATTATTTTTATTAGACATAATATTTTATATACTAAAAGTTTTTTTTTCTTTTTGATGCTAAGGCTCAAATCCTGGCCCCTGTTCATGCTAAACATGTGCTCTAGCACTGTGCTGTACCCCCAAGCTTAGATTTTAAAATTTTAATTCTCTGTCAAGTTAAAACATGAGTGTATATAAAAGGGATAGTTTAAAGAGAAGTAGAAATAGCATGCTTATTTCCCAAGGAAGAAATACAATGTGGAATTATATTTTGTTTTAATTTTTTTTTTTTTTTTTTTGCTTCTGAATGAGGGCCTCACTGTGTATCCAAGCTGATTTTGAACTCAGTAGATAGTCTAGGTTGCCCTCAAACTCATGGTGATCATCCTGCTTCAGCCTCCTAAGTACTGCAGTTACAGGCATTTTTCATCATGCCCTGCCTTAAAATTACTTTTAATTGTGGTGAGATACATGTTACATTGAATTTACCATCTTACCCATTTTTAAGTGTACACTTTGGTGGCATTAAGTACATTGACATTACACAACTATCAACATCATTTAGCTCCTGAATTCTCTTTATTTTGTATAATTCTGTACTCATTGAACAGTAACTCCCCCATTTGTCCCTTTTTATTTTGTTTTTAGCTGAGAAGCATGGCTAAAGCTTCTTTCATTAGGACCACAGTGTCAAAAGGAATCATTCTTCCACATGTACTTAGAACATGGTCTTTAAGTTACAAGAATGTGTAATGGCATCAGCAATTTATACTAAGGGTTCGTTTAGCTATGATTACTGGTACTGAATATGAGAGTGTAAAATTAACATGTTTTGAGCAGTGGTTGCTTTCAAAAGGTAGGTAGTAACATCATGGTAATTTTAGTACTTTGTATAGTAGAGTTCTGATAAAAAATATTCCATTTATTTGATGAGCTATATAATTCTGCTTTTGTTTTTGTTTTGAAATGGGCTCTCCTTATGTTGCCTGCATTGACTTTAAACTCCTGGATGCCAGTGTTCCTCTTCTGTTTAGAGCTTGGCTGCAGCACTGCCCTTGCACCTAATTACTAAGGAGAAAGAATGTGAACACACCTAAATGCATAACCCCTGGGCAGCAGTCACTGGGCTTCATTTCGTCTGGGCTTCAGTTTGTGGTATTGTTTTATCTCTGGCTTTTAGTTCAGTACAGAGAAATGGTAAAATCATCAAAAAATGGAAATCCTCTTTAATAAAGTCTTCATAAAACATTGTTTGATGTATTATGATTGGATTTCTTCTACACTAAGTTTACCTTAATGGTGTTGACTATAAAAACTGTGGGTTTTCAAACAAAAATGATTACATTAGAGGCTATGCTACATAAAATAGATGAGGAAAATATTGGAAAATCCACTCATTGGTAACAAAACTGCCTAATGGGCTTATTTAATTTTTTTCTTATAAAGTGTAATAAAGCTAATAAGTGCAAAGCAAAACTTTAATATTTCAGTCTTTACTTGATGGGACCATTGCAAGGCATATGCTGTGATGTGTAATTGCAATATATTTTATTTAGTAGTTGGTAAATTCTTATTACACTAGTCTAGATGTTTTTTGCAGTTATGTAGTATAAAGTTTTGGCCTCAGACATTCAAACCAGATGGTAATGTGGATTCTGTGCTGGCCCCCCCCCTAAGCTGCTGTGCTTCACGAGAGGCCTAAGCAGGTGATTTTAAATTGGTACGTCTTGGATTATTAATTTGTTGCTATGTAGATCATAAAAGAAATGTCGTACACTAATGTGTAGCTGAAGTATAGGAAGAAGGAAAGTTTAGGAAAAACAAATAGGTGCATTTTCATTATTAGCCGTTTTCCAAAGTGCTGCAAGTTCATTAAAAAAAAGTCAGGAAAGACACATGTTCTGTTTCTCCCTAAAGGGTTCACAGTGAATTTTTAAAACTTCAAGAAAGTAGAAACACAGTATGTTGTGATTAAATGAAGGGCTCTGATTTTGAATCCTGCATCTGCCACCAACTAGTTGTGTGACCTTGGACAAGTTATAGAATGTCTCCTACCTCAGTTTTCCTATCTGTAAATAGGGATGATGATAGTGTCTGTCTTATGAGTTTGCTGTGAAGTTAGATGAGATTGTCCACAAAAGGTTTCACACTGTGATAGATACTAAGTGTTAATTACTGGTAATGTTAGAATGATAATAGGAAAATTATTTAAACCTTGTATTATTTATCCTTGGTTGACCATGGGAGTCTTTCTGGGGAACATTTATAAACCTCTCATAGAATTAAAGTTGTGAATTAACTGTGAAATTCTGTATTTTTATTATTATAATTGTTTTTCTATTCTCTATTTGTGTAGAGATTAGTATTTTATCTTGTATATTATCGTACATGTGTGATTTTCTAAAAGCTTTGTAGTATTTTCTCTTTTATCAGAATTTATTTTCAGATTGCAGTAGGACAGCTGGTACAAGGTAAAGCCCGTTTGCTCCCAGGCAGGTGCGAGGGTGCAGGGTCGTGTTGCCATTCTGGGGCAAAGCCAGAGCTCTATACAGCATCACTTTTCTTTGTGCTCTGTCCTTTCCCAAGGCCGGTGCTGGCAAACTTTTTGAAGCTTTTAGTGACAGCAAACAGCTGGCTATGCTACTGTGCCGTAGGTTTGCCACCACTGCCCTTGGTGTTATGGTTTCTCATGCAGAGTGTACCGTGTTTCGTCGCATTTTGTGGTGTACCCAGTAGGGTCTTAGGTGCCTGGTGCATGCTGGCTGAAATGAGCATAAGGCAAATGGAGGTTTTCTGAGTCCAATTTTAGGAAGGCTCTTGAGGTGAATTCTCACTGTCTTCAGCTAGTTTTAGAGGCTATTCCTAGAAGAATAGGGATTTCCATGAGCTACATTTGGAAGATGAATTCTCTTGAAAATGTTAAAACCTTGAGATTGTAGCATCCAGTTGTCTTCCATGCTTGTCACTGTCCTCATTTTCTTGGGTAGTATGTCACACTGAAGTGGAAATGACTTAACACACCCAGTTATTTGGAAAGCATTCTGTGATTCCACAATCGGTCCCTCTGCTTCCTGGGCACGCTTCTTGGGGCAGTCATTCCAGTTTTGAATTTTGAGTGAGGTAATATGTAATCTTAGGATTAAACTCTGCCACGTTGACCAACAGTCACCAAAGAATCATCGTTTATATTATTTTTTCCTCAGTGCAGATTATTCAAGCCAGGATTCAAATTATCAGTGTTCTGACCATGTATTTCAGTTTCCAGACATGGGAACAGCAGTGAATTTTCCGCTTCTCA